AGAGCGGGATGGGGGCTGATGAAGCTCCCCCATTGTCTCGCCCATCTGGGCGCTGTCAGCCACCAGTGGAATGAAGGATGCAGCACTGGCAAGTGGATGGGGGGCTGCTGTCTCAGTCTGTGCCGTGTTCTGGTCTGGGCCCTGACGAGGTGTAGCATCAGACCCATGGGAATCAGCAGGTGTACCCGGTAATCATCAGCTGCCAGAGCCGCGAAGTGGTTGGAGAGGCGCAGGTGAGTTGGAAAAGCAACCCGTTGGAGGACCTCTTACGACCGTGGATCACTACCTCAGTCCAAGGTGTCCCATTTGGCGTTGAGCAGGAGGGTTGCAGGTGACAGGAGGGATCCCGCATTGACGAGTCCTGCAGGGTATTTTGTGAGGTTAAGATTTTTGAGCGCTCAGCCATTACGAAGTTAGATAGCAGTGGGAGACAGGTCTTAAAGCTGGACAGGAGCAAATCCCTTTGTTGCAGTTCATCCGAGAGCCGTCGGGCATCTTCTTGTATGTTTTTTAAGAAAACTGTCCTCACAGGGCTCACAGGCCATTGTTTATAGCTTAGTTCATAGCTTAGCCCCAGTGCTAACAACAAGCTACCCTAGCTTCAGACAATAAACTACATACAATAAGTAGAATTTAAACTTAAGACTAAAGATACAAACTTAAGACTTAAAAACTCAAACAGAACCTCCAACAGGTAGGCACAGACGCTGACACATGCGTACAGTGTAGATCAGCAGCAGTGCTGAACTTTCTCTGTTTATAGAAAATTTGTCTTACTGTAAACTGATGAACATCAAGGCTTTTAGAAATACTTTTGTAACCCTTTCTAGCTTCAAGAAAGTCTACAATTCTTAGTCTTAGGTTTTCTGAGAGCTCTTTTGTTCTAGGCATGGTTCACATCAGCAAATGCTTCATGAGAACAGCAAAATTAAAATTGGTGTATGTTTTTCATAGGGGATGGCAGCTCTAACCAACACTTCTAATTTCATCAAATTGATTGGACTCCAGGTTGGCTGACTCCTGACTCCAATTAGCTTTGGGAGGTATCAATAGCCTAGAGGCTCACATACTTTTCCCACCCTGTATTGTGAATGTTTACACGATGTGTTCAATATAAAAACATGAAAACATGTAATTGTTTGTGTGGTATTGTTTAAGCAGAAATTGTTTGTCTATTGTTTTGACAGATGAGATTTTATGACCACTTTCTGCAGAAATCCAGGTAATTCCAGAGGATTCACATTTTCCTGCAAATGTGTGTGTGTGTGTGTGTGTATGTGTGTGTGTATGTATGTATGTATGTATGTGTATATATATATATATATATATATATATATATATATATATATCTCAGAGTATTCTGCCACGACTACAGTATCTTTTTCAACTGATGCTTATGGAAGTGACAAGCCAACAGTTCATGGAATAGGACAAACTCAAATCCAGGTATATATGAAATGACAGAAAGCCACGAAATAAATATAAATCCTTAAAAAGAGTACACGGGAATGGGGGCTACTATACGCTTGTTAGAGTATTATTAGATATAGAGCCAAATCTTCTCATATGCGGGTACAACCCTTATTATTTTGCTTGGGGAAGGAGCTAGAGCAGGCAATGAATGATCGGACCCCACTTCAAAAAATGTCTCCTTAAAAAACACCACTTGGACGGAGCAAATGCATTGATTAACTTGTCCCTGATGATTTTGAAGGAAACTCAAACATTGTGCAGAGAATATATTTTAGTCAAATGTGAGTGATTTATAATTTGAACATTACCTTTCATACTTGCCAACACTGAGACCTCAAAAATTTGTTAGGGAGCATTTTGGAAACCCTGGCAGGGTTTAGGGGTTTATCCGTTATCCAGGTGGAAACAGTAGAGAGTGAGAGCTGCTGGGCTTATAGGTGCTGTATAGTGTAAGAATCAGGTGATGTTAATGAAAAGAACAAAAGTTGTGATCATTGTCAAATACGGGAGAATTGTGAGCTTGAGGGGCCAATGAAAAATGTGAGTCTCCAGGGAAAATTGGGAGGGCTGGCAAGTATGTTAACATTCCTCCTTGTTGTCTTGTGCTATACATAGTTCTGTTTGGTTTCAGCAATTGATGCCACTGAAATATGGTCAATGGGGAAGGAACCCAATACATTTTCATCTGAAAATGTTGTGTTTTCTTATGTTTACTTGCAAGGACAGAATCCTGTGGAATCCACAGGGAGGCACACACCCTCTCCAAATTAAAGAGCTGTCTTCTTTGATAAAGCTTATAGTGAAGGCTGGCTAGTTTTTTCACCAAGTTTTCAGAGTTGTGGCAATGACTATGTTCTTGTACCAGAAAAAAATAGTAAATCTTTGATGGAGAGTTTGTTGCATTCTGATTATTTCTAACTATGTGTCTTGATGATCATTTAAGTTAATCAATTTCGTGATGTATTGCAGTTGATTAGCCAAATAATGGTGGATGGAATTTGGGGCATTTAAATCTCCAAGCTATTTGCTTTTCTGTAGTGTTGTGAGTTTGATTCTAGGTTGTTTGCTTTTCCAGAAGAATTTTGTGATTAGTGAGTCGAGTGTACTAAACCAGTTGGTTGTTGGCTGGACAGCAGTCATTGAGAAGAGACGTTGATTCGAGGGAAAATTGACATTTTTTGTTGCAATGCAGCTTGCATAGGACAGTGGTAAATTATTCCAGCAGTTTAACTGATCTTTGGTAGATGTATTGATGGGGGTAAAGTGGGAAGATTAGAAGAAATATTGAGGCCCAAATATGGTATGTTACAAGTTGGGATGTTGAAGGATCGTTTTGGAGTTGTAGCCTTCCTCTAGTGTGCCTTTGGTAGGAGGATTGTGGATTTGGACTCGGTAACAAAATAATGGAGGTGAGAGATGGAGGAGAATATTTATATTCAAACACTTGGGTAGTGATGTTGAAGATTTTTGCATATATAATAATAAATTGTCGGTATATCAACTGGCTTCATGGTTTGTATTGGAATTGCGCATCTTCATGAATGGCGGCTGTAGGGGTTTAATTAACAGTAAGAATAACAGTGAAGAGAGTGGAAATCCTTGCCTATTGATGCGGCTTAGTGTGAAATGTGGGGTTATTCCATTGGCGATTATTGATGAGTTTTTCAATTTTAATCAATTTAATAAATTAATCTCCAACACCAAACCCCTCTCGTGTCATTTCTGGAAGTGCAGGACTCCATGATCAAGTTAGCAACAATAAATATGCTGTGTTTGGTCAAGTTAGCAATAATAAATATTCAGCCATCCAGCTGACATGGGAAACAGGGGTTTACGCCCAGACACTTATGAAACAGATGAATATTTAGTGGGGGGGCAGTCCAAGACATGGCAAAATTAATTCAAACATAAAGTTGAAAGTCCAAAATCCAAAGAAACAGTTTAAATCCAGGAGAGAAGTTCAAGTAAGTCAGTCCAAAAACAAAACACGGCAATCCAAACACAAACAGGAGAATAACCACAATTCCAGTATGACTGTGTTAATCCAAAACACAGGAGAGGAATGAGGAACAGAGGTTAAACACGAGACACTGGAAACAATGCTGGGTGAAACACTTGTGAAACAATGAATTGGCAGCTAGACAATAGTGAGAAATTCTTAAATACCTAAAGGGGGTGGGGACAATGAGACATAGGCGAAACACATTAGGGCAGGTGCAAACAATCAACCCAGAAACACTGATACTGACACCAGGGACAGAACAACTTCAAAATAAAACACCAACACCCCAGAACTGTGACAGCAACACCCAGGCAAGTTAGCAATAGTAAACATGCGACCTCCGGTTAGACTTTCAAAATAAAGCTTGTGTGATTAATGCGCTTGTGCTAAAGTTTTTTGTTTGTTTGTTCCATACATCCACCCAACCCACCTCACCTCCAGATGTGGACTTTCTAGCTCTTTTAAGGCGGCTGCATCCAGAAAGGACACTACAGGGGAACCTACTGCGTTATATTTTGAAGCGTGCCACTGATGTCTTGAGAATGAGACAGGGTTGGTTTTCTTTCTGCCCCCAAAGCTGTAGAGTCTGATTCTAGCCAACTACTGCCCCCATGTTCCTGCTCAACATCCGCTGCCATAATTATTCTTATATTATTATCTTATATTATTAATATTGATATCATCATTAGTACTATATTACTATTATTATATGTATTAATATTGATATTATTACCACTACATTACCTTTATTTTAAATCTCCATGTGGAATTTGCATTGTGATATTGTGATATTGTATGTTCTCTTTCCTCCTGCTCTTTCCTTATTACCCTGAGCCTGGGTTCTGCTCGAGGTAGGCCTAATAAAAGTTCAGTTTTTCCTTGCCTGTGTCACCAAGTACTTGCTCATGGTGGGAATTGTTCGGTCTCTGTAAATAATATAATAAAGAGTAGGTCTAGACATGCTCTGTATAAAAAGTGCCCTTAAGATTTGTCTTTCCCTGTTTTATTCTGTAAAAAACTATATCTTATTGTTCACCACGACACTGTTTAAAGTTACAAACCTAAGATATAAACATTATAGAGAGTTTTGTCAGAGAAGTTAAATTTGAAGGCGATTATTCTGGTTTAAAATGCAAAACGCTTGAGACAAAAGCCTCTTCCTCAATTGAGGATTTAAGTTTTTGTTAGTAGTTTTTATCTATTTTAAGCCACTTGATGTTCATTTTAACAACATATACACAAACACACCTCCACCTGCTGGATCCAGCTGCCTACTTCAATCAGTGTGCAGCTTCACTGAGCCCTTTGAAAAGGGGAAGAGAGACAAGTGAGAGGGAGGGAGAGAGGGAGGGAGAGAGGGAGGGAGGGTGAGAGGGAGGGAGGGGAGAGATGGTGGGTGTTTGTGCATGTGTCTCTGTGTGTGTAAGAGAGAGAGAGAGAGGGAGGGAGGGAGGTGCTGCATCAACCCGGCATACAGCAGCAGGCTGGGTTTAGGGATCTATTGTTCCCTGTTTTATTACTGCCAGACCTTGTTCTCTCTCATTAGGGATCCAAGACAGAGAGAGAAACAGAGAGGACGAGGAGAGCAAGAGGAGACCTCATCCCCGTCTGCCTGGGATTACTTCTTCCTGAACACACTGGTGTGGACAAAGCAGAAGCAGAAAGCACACACTCTTGAGTTCAGCTCTCTACCTCGTGGCCAGGCTTGCTTTTTTTCCTCTTCACTGCATTGGGAACTACAGTACTTGCTGTGTAATGGGGCTGGCCAGCAGAGCCGTGGGGATGCTGGGGATATCGAGAGGGGTACCGTTCCCCTCTCTCTGGAGGACAGCGCTGCTCTTTCTCTCCATCTGGGAACTGGATGCACAAACCGCAGTGGAAACTAAACCCCTATACATCTGGCAAACAGGTACGGTCCACCCTCTGTACTCTTTCACCACCTCCCCCCTGAGAGAAAGGGGTTCCTGGAGATGCTGAGTGGCGGTATGGATGCTCCAGCCACTGCTACTCCTGCAGTCTTGATGAAATATTAATATGTAAATGTTTGTGGACAGGGTGCAGGAAAGCTGGTGAACTTGCTCAAAGTGTTCTTGATTGATTTGTTGCAATTATTGTATTGTTGCCTTTTCTTGATTTCATCAAATCTCCCCCCAAAATAGAAGAATCTTCATTTAAAAGAGTAGTTTCTTCCCTGAGGCTCTTTTCTTGCAGATATGCATGTGGCAGAGTGTTGATGCATTGGAGCCATCTTGCTACTGTATAGTGTAGTAACATATTTTCTGCTGTCCCTGAGGTGAATGTGTCTTTGCCCCCTGACTGGGGGTTAGAAGAGCATGCTGTGCTGGCTGTCGTTTGGCTGCGATTTCTCCGTTCTGGGCTGAGGCAGCTGGGACTCCTCGGCTGCACTACGTTGCTACTGGACTCATTTATCACAGTTTGACATGTGTGCAATTGATGAGAAATTGTGTGCGCACTGTAGCTGCATGTGGCTGCTTTCTGAGGGGGAGTGGGGGGATACAAGCACGCTCCAAAGGAGACGGCAAAAGCACCGTAGTATTTTAGTGCTGATGCGGGTGTTTGATTGTGAAAAAGTAACCCAGCAGTGGATGTTGATGAGTTAAACCAGAGTGTTGTGAGTACAGTAGCTTTGAAGTGTAGGCAGCTATGCAGTACAATGCAAAGCTCCCTGCTGCTGCTGTTTTGGGTGGTGCCTCTCTGGTTGAGACTCATTCAGCACATGAGAGCAGCACATGGTCAGAAGGACACAATACTCATGCATGGTCCAGCGAGCAGATTGAAGGAGTAGAAGCAGGAGGGTGGAGGAGGGTGAAGGAGGAGTGATGAGAGCAGGAGTAGGGGGATGGATCCCCTGGACCCATCGGGACAGGAGTGCCCTTTGGATGCAGCAGGAGATCAATGTTCTCTTTCACTACTGTCTAATCTCTCTCTGTTTCGCTGGTCAGTGTACTGGTTTCCCTGGGATCCTGCAAGCCCCCCCCCCACCTTTAGGAGCTGATCAATGCGTATAATCCTGGCAATGCAGCACCTTCTGTAGGGGATCAATTCCCTCGTTTGGCTGAGTCTAAAATGTAATCTATATATCTGTGTTTGTAATACCCAGAATGTGCAGGATGCTATTTCCTTAATGCTTTTATAGTCCAACTGAAATGAAAATTAATGTTTGCTAAGAAGAGAACATATATATCTGTTGAATTGTGGATTTATTTTATCAAAGTTGTAATTACCAGAAAGAAGAAATTCAGATTCTATTTATTTCTCTGCAATGATAGCACCCCCGACATTTATGTTACCGGTGTTACAAATATTGGTACCATTGACAATGTCACTGTTGTGATTCAACTGGTTAAATATCTGCATGAGTTGGTACTATAAAGAGTTAGTTTAAACAACTTTTAAAGGGGGCCAACATTGTTACCCGTTGCTTAGCCAGATGGAATGTGCATTTCATTGTGTACCTGGTCTTTTAATAAGTTTCAGTTACTTCAATATGATGGAGGTTCCACCTTGGCTGCAGCTGGTTTTATGTTTCAGTCTTATTGTCCAGCAATGGTTAAATAAATTAGTTTTCATTTAAAAGAGAAAGGAAACCGAGAGCTTTATAGCTCTGGAAGTATTGAGTGCCAAAACCACAAGTATAATTAATTGAAAATGTTGGCACAATTGTCTGGCCCCTCAATCCAAAAAACTTAAAAAAAATAATAATAAAAACAAATAGGTCAAATTAATTCTCTGTTGTTGTACCATAAATAATGATTGTTTTTTTCTTCTCCTCACACGAATTATTGTTTACCAGCTTCATTGTTCACACCCTGTGCAAAGGAATGGAAATCCTGTGGTATTATGTGTTGTACCTCCCACTGTGTTAAGGCAGAGGAGGAGATTAAGGGTAGAGAAACCAGAGCAGATTGGCCAGACAAAGTTAACCTAGATACGGTATAGACATGTTTATGTGTGTCTCTCCTTGGCTTAAGTGCATTGGCCCTTGGTGCCTTGATGCTGGTTTGGCTCGCAGACAGAACTGTGGCACCGATGCTGAGATGAATGACTATGAACTATTTTTGCATGTTGCTGTGTTTGATGTGACATTTTTGGTAGATCATGCCTTCCTCTCAGAGTGCCAATCCTTCCCCACGTCCGCAACACAACACCTCTTGTATAGGAGGGAGCGTCAGGAGAAAAGGGGTTGACTGTTCTATCTTGGAAAGGGAATTTATTTTACCGGAGTGTAACATATATATGTAATAAATATTGCAGTGTAAAATTGGCGAAACCCATACCTCTGGTGCTGAAATTAACCACAGGACAGGAGTGATGCTGTTGACTGCTGTTCCAATATGTGTGGAAGTGCCAAGGGAAAGAGTACGATTTCATTAAATGCATTATGGTGCAATATTGGTATTTTCTCCATTTAATCATCCCCTGTGGGCTACTACCAAGGCTGATGTGTAACCAGGGCAAAAATGCTACAAAGAGATGGTTCATGTGTCACATTACTCCCGTACACTTCCTGTATATGTAGAGATCTTTGTTGCAATGTGTAATCTGGCACTGTGTGTTAAGGCGTTTGGGCAGATGACTTGCTTGTATTGTCTCAGTGTTCGAAGCACAGATGCCACAGACAGAAGGTTGGGGATTAGATTGTAGTTCCTCTCTGAAAGGAGTTAGCGTGTCAATAACTGGGTTTCCTCTCACAGTCAGCTGGACTGGCAACTCAGCATCTATGTTTGTTCAGTTTTGCAGTTAATGGAATGGTTTATTACAACTCGACCAAAGTGATCTCCAAGTAAACTTCATGAGCCAGCAAACACATTTTCCCCCAGATATTAACCCTAATCAAAGTGTACATCCTTACCTGCCAGCCTCAAGAAGCCCTGCAGGTAAGTAACTACCTTGGACAGGAAATCTTAGCCAATTGAGGGGGAGGCTTTGGTGTAACCTATTTATGTTTTGTAGAGCAACGGTTCTCAACCTTTGTGTGTGTCTGTGAAAAGATATTGAGTGAAGAAGTTCTAAATAGTTGTACTTCACAACTAAGGTCCCTGTGTTGGCTCAGTGGTTTTACAACAGCTGTTATGATGATGTTATGAAGAAACACTGACAGCGTCGGGAGGAGAGAGAGAGAGAGAGAGAGAGAGAGAGAGAGAAAAAGCACGCTGGTGTGGGTGAGCGAGCGTCGTAATTATGGACAGGAGAGACATGTGTGACTGAAAGGTTTATTTAGATATCATCCATCCATTATAATTAAATTAAACTCACCACTCAACGAGGAATTCACAGCTTGAACGATCGATTTCAGCGACAGATGGCGCGTGTGTGTTTTTCCTGTTTTGTCCGGTTTCTTTTTTTTCTGTTTGTGGCTGACTGCAGAGAGACACTTCGTACATTGCTAAAAAGGAGTCCTGACGGGTCCAGACCCATAAGCAGTCGGCACACAGGGTGGCTGTGTGAAATGTATATGAAGCACTGGTAAAAAGGCGTAGCTGTGGAAATATGACCCAAACTATCATCTTGGTTTACAGATGAATTTCATGCTTCAACTTTGACAGACTGTACTTACTGTGCATAGTCATTTCCTGTCTTTACAGCTTATCTCCTCTTCGGACTGCTCGAGTTTCTTGTCTTTTAAGACTTCATTTCAGTAATTCACTATATTTCCTGATATCCTGATATATATTACTTTGCTGCTACAGTTTTATTATAACAAGAAGGGACAATGGCCAAATCCTAAAAAGGTTAGATCCAAGTTATAATAAACCTGAAATATCTTTTAAAATACACTATTAAACAGTTCAGGGACTGAATCACACAACACAGCATCAAATCTTTTGTGTACAGATGCAAAAAAGTAAAATCAGCCTTGCTGATTTAGCTCTGTAGGCAGGTGCCCGCGGTAAAAATGAGGTGAAATCATTTTAACCTCTTTTTCAGTGCAAATCAACTTGATAAAAATGTCTTGAACCAGTTGTGAGAAAACAAAGTTTGGGTAGAACTGTAGATTTATCTCTTGTCTTTCATGTTGATGTCTTGTAAAACAAGACAAAGGTAGGTGTCACATTAGTTCCCATTATGGACCAATCCTCTCTTACTGCACTGTCTACATTTCAAAGGTTTTGGATGAATAGCATTCAGACTATATATATATATATATACACAAATGCTGTTCAGGCTTCCAACAGTCCTGAAAACAGTTTTTGGTGCTGTATACTTCAAGAGTGCACTTCTTGGTCTTTTCAGTACAATCCCCTACCCATTACCACCACCGCCAATGTACACCATGGGGCCGCACACTTCCTGGTACACGGCATGAAAACAAAGGTCTCTGCAGAGCCGAACAAACCGGAGCGATAACAGATGGTAATTAGTAGGGCAGTTCCCCTGTCCAGACCCAGTCCGCTTTAGTAAGAACCAATGAATGGACGCTATTTAGGCCTGTATAAAACACACACACACAGAAAACAACACAGTGTCTCTGTATTGTGCTCGTGCAGTGTGTAGCTCTGTCCGGGCCCTCTGCCGCAGATGTGGTGCACAAAAGAAAAAAGACGCTTCACTTCCAGTCACATGACCCGCTCTTTGTTCTTCCTCTGATGTCCCCAGAGATTCAGCCCCCTCTCAAGGTGACCTTTAACCTCAGAGCTGAGAGGGGTCTCGTGAGGGTATCAACAGTGACAAGGGGGTGGGGGTGGAGGGGGCAATACAGCAGCTTCTCCAGATCAAGTGTCAAGTGCTTAATTCAGCCATTTACACCGGAAAATGTAATAAGCTCTGGGTGAAGTGGAGGTGGACAGATTTAGGTTTTTGATGATACAGTGATCCTAATACTCATATCTGGTAATTAAAGATGCCAGTAATTTGTATATTTAAAGCTGCACTGATTAATATTCACTG